CACTAAACTACATCAGGTTATTGTCTAGATGACACCATTTAAAATATTTATTATATAATTAAGTATAAAATATAAATTTATATATATATTCGGTTCATGCGATTCAACCAGTGACCCATTGGTTGAACCATTGACCCAGTGACCCGATACCTCGGCCGGTTCAATGACCGGTCCGGTTCTAATAACATTACTCTCCTTAATAATTGTCTAATTTCGATTGGTCCAGACCACTGAGTTAATGGTGATCCAGGATCACCAAAATTCTTCTCCTATCTCAGATTAAAGGGTGTATTGAATTGGGATTTTAAAAGATTTTAATGAATTATTTTTGGATAAAAAAATTCATTGGTATTCAATTAGTATTTTAAATAATTGAAAAAAAGTCACGTAGTATTCGATTAGGATTTTAAAAGATTATTCTAGAGACCGTCCAAATCCGTTTGTATTCAATCAGGATTTTAAATAAAGAAAAATTAATCATGTGGTATTCAAAAATTTGACGATTTTAATGGATTTTCTATTGGTGTGGATTTCATGGGACTTTTAGTGAAAAATATAAATAAGATGCCTTTCTCACAATCTCATCCTAACCCTTAGAATTTCTTGAGATTTCTCTATTGCAGTGTCTTCTTCTTCCTTTGGCGGGTCGACCCGATCAAACTAGGTTCATCCATGGGAGCTTTGTCAAAGCTCAAAAACAGTAGATTTTTTAGCGATTTTTGAGAGTTTTTGGAAATTTAAAAAATGATTTAGACAGTAGATTGGTCGCAATTTTTCTTGGCACAAAAATGTGTGATTTTGGTATTAAAAACAACATAAAACAGTGAGAAAACAACAAAGGAACAAAAACCCCCCAAACCAATTTTTGTTTTACATCAATGAAACAAGATTGATTTAAAGAAAGATTGAAATTTTCATAATATGAACCCTGTTTTTCATAACAATATATTTATGAACGAAATTCCTTCGCTATAGAAAATAATTTCAAACAATTTTTGTATCAATAGATCACTACAAATTTGTTTTTCAAAAGTCCCAAAGAAATTTAAGGTTTCAATGTATCGATTGAAAATAATTTGAGAAATTTTCTAAACTTTCATGTAATAAAACTCAAAAATTCAGATTCAATTTTTTTTTGAAATTCTCAATGAAAACATGCACATGATATATAGTTAGAAAACTCTTATGACGTAGAATAAAATTCCCAAGGTTTACAAGATCAATTAAAAGAAATTCCAAACTTTATCCTGAATTTTACTGATTGAGAAAAATATTAGGTTTTACTTTTTTTTATTGATATCATTGCATTTCTTTGTTATTTTTTTATTGACCCTTGTAATTTTGAATGTTTATTAAAAATTCATATGATTTTTAAAATCTTATAAATTCATATTGTCCTTTAAAATCTTATAAATTCTATTAAATTTTTTTAAAATCCAATATTATGAAATCTTGATTGTAAAAAAAGTATTTAAAATTCTTCCAATTTTAAATAGCCTTTTAAAATCTATAAGATTTTTTATCTCAATTTTTTTTTTATAATCCTAATCCAATATACTCCGTAAGTTTGACCTAAACCTTTGTATCGCCACCAAGGATTCAGACAACAAAGCTTTATACCAAAGCCACAATCTCACAAAACAAACACGTACATCAAGGTGCAATGCAATCAATCACATGCATCAACGATTACCTCAATATTCATCCATAATCTAGGCAATTCAACACCATTCACAAGGTGAAGAACTTACCTACACTTGGTTCAACTCAAGCAACCAAGTCAAGTTCCATAGGTTTCACCAGTTCTTGATCAACCAAAGACGGTCCACTTGCTTTAATTTTATTCACAACATCGACACAATCAATACCAACATCAAAACTGCAATATTATTACTTGGAATGCAAGAAATCTCTACACCTAGGCACCAATTTTTTGAAAATATTATGGCATGCCAAAATAGTGATCTAATGACATTTCTACCATTTAAATTACGTCCTAAACATTTCTTCCAACTACCACCAAGCTTAATTCATGCTCTAACATAGCCATTCAACTAGCATTTCTATTCAAAATCCTAAATATGGATTTCTTCATAAAACAAGATAAGGTTTCAAATGCTTATTACAAATCCAACCATAATAGTCCTAGGGATGATTTTCACCCAACAATTGGTCAATACACCACCTCAAGCTCCTTGGAAGACCACCAAACCGCCACTTTCTCTTTAGAAAATGCCACCACACAAGGCTCCAATGTGGATTCTAGGTCTAGGGTGATGCTCACTCAAGGTTGGGACAACGACCAAAATGTCATTCTAGTCACAAAAAATTACCTGAATGCAATGGATCAGGTATTTTTTTCCGAAATACCACGTCACTTAACTCTCTACAACAACTGGCGAGTTAAGTGTTGACACGTGGCAGCAGGTTCATGGCCACATAAGTCGTTGCACAATGTAGCGAGATTACGTGGCAGACAACTGTCAAACTCGCTATGTTGCATAGCATGTTACGTGCCAGTTTGGCGTGTTACGTGTCTGACATGTGTCAAACTCATTATACTGCATAGCATGTTACGTGTCAGCCTTTTTGACACGAGGTCATATATGTTGTGCTTCATAGCATATTATGGTAAGTAGCCCAGCAGTCCAGCGTTTTTGGTCTAATAAATTCACCATTTCCCTTCCCATTTCTTACATCATTGCGGTCTAATGAATTATAGGATAATTTTCATTATTGAATTTTTTATTTTGTACTAAAATAATATAAGGAAAATTAATATTGGTTTGAATATTTTAGTTTTAAACAACTTATGTTAAAATAATTTAATTTAGGACTATTAATTTAATTTAATTTATGTTGGTTAATTAATTTAATTTAATGTAGGAGTGTTAATTAATTTAATTTAATTTATGTTAAGTTAAATTATCTTTAATTGTTAAGTAAATTAATTTAATTTAGGAGTGTTAATGAATTAAATTAAATTTATGTTTGTTAATTAATTTATTTTAATTTTCTCTATATTAATTTAAATTATTTTAGAACTGTTAATTAATTATTTTTAGGAGTGTTGGACTAAAAACGGGAAATGGGAAAGGAAATGGTGAATTTATTAGACTAAAAACGCTGGACTGCTGGACTACTTACACATAATAAGCTATGCAGCACCGCATGTATGACCACGTATCAGAAAAGCTGATACGTAACATGTTATGCAGCATATCGAGTTTGACACGTGTCAGACACGTAACACGCCAAGCTGGCACGTAACATGCTATGCAGCATAGCGAGTTTGCCACGTTGTCTGCCACGTAATCTCGCTGCATTGTGCAGTGGCTTACGTGGCCGTGAACCTACTGCCATGTGTCCCCACCTATTGTAGCGAGTTAGGTGACGTGGCATTTTGGGAAAAAAATTCTTGTTCGTGGCATTCAGGTAATTTTTTATGAATAGTGTGGCATTTTTGTTGTTGTCCTCTTAAGGTTCCTAGTCATTTTTGCTTCCAACACAAGGTGATTTCATGGAGAATCAAGGAATATGTGTTTTAATATCACTAATTGCTCATAAATGGCGGCGGCTCTCGATTTGGTGAGGGAAGAGATGAGGTGGAGTGAAATTAAGTCATTTAAATGTGTTCTCATATTTTTGCGCTGCTCGATGGGCTCCTCGCTCCAGCGAGCAACGTTAACGAGCATTTTCCACGCTCACTGGACAACTTGCTCCAGCGAGCTCCCTAGCGATAAGTGGCTGACAAGGCCTTTTAACTTAAAAGCTCATTTTCTCACTTAAACCTACTTACTCACTTAAGGGTGTCTTTCGATATAAACACTTTTCACATTGATTGAACTAAGTTTTTCCCACTTATTTTATCTACAATGTGATTAGTTAACATTTAATCTAATTTAATTAAGTCTCTCACTTAATTAATCTACATTATGCATGATTAAATCATTAATCCAACGCAATTTTGACATTTACAAATCAAGGTTATTATATATATATTTTTTCACTTTCCACGTCAGCAGACAAGTTTATGAAGAGAGAAAAAAAAGTACAAGCTTAATATTATAATTATGTATTTTCGAAAGGGAAATAATAGTCTCATGCTACATAAGATACATATCTCATGTCATATACCCATAGAATTTTGTGCCAATTTTTTCTTTTCTTTTTTCTTTTCTTTTTAATTTGTGGACCCCACATATTTGTATCACCCACATGAGAGTACTATCTCATATAACATGAGATTAGTAAATCCCTTTTCGAAAATACATAATTATAATGCGGTGATTGGACAAAACCTTATATCCAGTAACTGGACACCTAACTTTCCATATATATATATATATATATATATATATATATATATATATATATAATTTTGTATTTTAACATTAAGTAATAGAAATTTTATGTTACATGTCGTTTCTACACATTTCTATCATCCCCTCCCTTTTCTATGCAGAAACTTTATTTTGACAACATTGATCACCACCAGCTATCTTTTGCTAATTACCTCTTGTATTTCACATCATTCTTCGATTTTTCAACTAATTGAACTCTTTAAAGGAATTATTTGCAGTGACCAACCCCACAATCAAACTCCTAATCTTCCCAAATAGTGACGAAAATAGTGACGCTTCCCTATGGGAGGTTAAAAATATGATATGAATTCTGAACATTATTTAATTAGCTGGGAAATTTAATTGCTTATATGTGTGTTTAGCATATAGCTAATAATAATAATAACATGATGTCCCCACTAGTGTTGTTTCTCATTTTGCCACTTGCTTTCCCTCATATAAATGCTTCAAAGAAGCACAACAGGAATATATTTATATATGTATACATATACAAAGAGAGATATCACCATTCACCATCCTTCTCAATCCCTATCTGTGATGAATGCTGATTTAGCCCCGTAGTTGGTGCTCATCCTTCGACTTAATCCTTCTCCATTGAACAATACACACACAAAAATAAACCCACACCAGAAGTTTTCATTTTGCACAAGTATCCACACCAAAATTCAAGCAATTCCTTCCCAATCCTAATCCTCAAAACCCCATCCTAAATCCTCAAAACACACACACTCTGAGTCTCATAGAGAGAGATATATATATATACGACTTTTACTTCCCAACTGTTTTTCTTTGCCTTCTTGAAACTCAACCTTAGGTTCCAAGCACAAAGCACTAAGGCCAATTCATTCTAGTACTCCAAAAACAGTACTTTGTTCTCTAATATTTTTCTTATTCAATATTGCATTATTAACTTGATGGACTATTGCATGAGAGAACTAGAACTAGAAGGAAAGCAAGCTCATGATCCTTTATTCATAGAGAAAATGAATATCAATTCATCATCAACAACCACTGAGAGATGTGTGTGGGTTCCAGGGCCAGTGATTGTAGGAGCAGGGCCTTCAGGTTTAGCAGCAGCAGCATATCTCAAAGAGAAAGGTGTCCCAAGTTTAATACTAGAGAGATCAAATTGCATAGCTTCTTTGTGGCAACTCAAAACCTATGATCGTCTTCATCTTCACTTGCCAAAGCAATTCTGTGAGCTTCCCTTGATGGGGTTCCCTTGTGATTTCCCAACATACCCAACAAAGCAACAGTTCATAGAGTACTTGGAAAGCTATTCAGAGAGGTTTGATATTAGGCCTCGGTTCAATGAGACTGTGAAGCATGCTGAATTTGATGCCACTCTTGGCTTTTGGAGGGTGAAAAGTGTGAGCAAGTTGGATATCACGACGGAGTTTGTTTGCCGGTGGCTGATCGTGGCCACAGGAGAGAATGCAGAGGCGGTGGTTCCTCAGATTGAAGGAATGGTTGAGTTTGGTGGTCCTATAAGGCACACAAGCTTTTACAAGAGTGGTGAGGAGTTTAGAGGGAAGAGAGTTTTGGTTGTTGGGTGTGGGAATTCTGGCATGGAAGTGTGCTTGGATCTTTGCAACCATAATGCTACTCCTTCTCTTGTGGTTAGAGATACTGTAAGAACTCTTTCTCCTTACACCTTTTTCTCTTCTCTATCTCTGTCCCTGAGAAAAATTGGCATACCCCAAAAATAAAATACTGTAAAGTTATTTTGGTTTAAAGTTTACATGTCACTCCTGTTTTGGAATTACAGATTTAACATGAACATAGCTCATTTAAGCATTTAGCAACAAGACACCTACTTTTTTTTTTCATTTCTTGTTCTTTTTTAATGGGCTTTGTCGGATTTTTAAATAAAGATTACTTGTTTTGTAAAACCCAGATGGGGATTTTCTTTTTTGTCATATAAAAATTTCAACTTTCACATAAACATAAAATATGATATAATATGTGTTCGAATTTAGAAACATGGAAATTGACAGCCTTGTTTTGTTCTGTTCATTCTGAAAAAAGAAATTAAAAAATTAGTCTGATTTTATGATGCATAATATGAAAGTAAAATTCATCTTGAATTGTTTGGATTTTCTAATTAGGCAGAACTTGAGAGGCAAATTACAAAACCCTCTTCTCATACTTGCATCCTGTGGCATCAAGTACCAATGGATTGTTCAAAGACGATTCAGAAGATTTTAAAAGTTTCATTTTGAGAGCACCAATATTATAAAAACCTTGATATTTCACTTTGTTGGGATTCTCAAGCATGCGCAGTATGGGATAGAAGCATAAGATTGCCAGTTATTTTCCATACCCATTTGCTTTTTTCTCCCCCCTTTTCCTTCCCATGATTTTCTTAGCAAAAAGAGATACTCTTTCCCTTTTGCATATAGAGCATGCCCTGCAAACTATTAAGGCCTATCAAGGGCCAAAATCCTCACACATCAGCTACTACTTTTTTCTCCTTTCTTTTTTCTTCCACTTTTTTTTCCCTTTACAAATCACTAAAATTCTAATGGGATACTCTCTCTGCACGGTTTAAATTTTATCTAATAATAGTCTAAAAATTAAAATTCATAACATATATTTGTGTTTTTTTTTTACTATGTATTATATTTCTACTAGATTATTGTAATAAGCTCAAATTATATAAGAATTTATCCTTATCATGGGGCTTTTTTTTTTTTTTTGCTTGGTTAAAGGTACACGTCCTACCACGAGAGATGCTTGGAAAATCCACTTTCGGGTTATCCATGTGGTTGCTCAAGTGGCTACCCATTTGGCTTGTGGATCGTTTTCTTCTCATAGTGTCATGGCTCATGCTCGGTGACACTGCTCGATTCGGATTGGACCGTCCTCGTTCGGGTCCCCTTCAACTCAAAAACCTCTCTGGAAAGACACCAGTGCTAGATGTGGGTACCCTTGCTAAGATTAAAAGTGGACACGTTAAGGTACTTTTTCCCTTTTTTATCAAACCAAATTCAACTTTTTTTCCCCATCAAGTTTTTTGTGTCACAAATATCTTAATTGGAAATGCTTTTTCTTAGGCAATTATAGTTTAACTAATGACAAGAGATTTAGCTAGTTTGTGCCGTCAATCTAACCGTATGTTTTTAGAGTTTTATGTTTATCACGTAACATAACACAATTTCACTTTCCTACACTCACACTAAAGAGGTGGGATTCACATGTTTTTCTTTCTCTTTCATCATTCCACTTTCTCTCTCCCTTTTGTTGTGTGTTGGAAACAAAACTTAAATTATGTCTTCCACCTGTCTATTTTATTTGCAAGATTTTCCATCATTTTGTGCTTTCAATCTAATCGAGCATGAATCACAAGGTTTTGGAATTGGGGTTAGGTTATTTTATTTTTATTAATTATGTACTCTTGAGAGTACATAATTATAATATGAAAGTTGTTTTTTTTTCTCTTCATGTCAGCTAACAAATTTACGAAAAAATTTAGAAGAGAAAAAAAAAAGCAACTTTAATATTATAACTATGGGATCTCCGGAGTATATAATTATAAGAGAGTGAAAGGACATAAACTTATATCTTTTAAAAGGACAAATAGTTTTCCCTTTGGAATTTATGTGTTTTTACAAAAGCTAATTGACAAAAAAAAATACCATAATTCCAATCATGTTTGTGTTAAGAATGGTTCAAGAGATTCTCCAGAGTACATAATTATAAAAGATGAAAAGACATAAGCTTATATCCTTTAAATAGATAAATAATTTTCCCTTTGAAATTTATGTGTTTTTACAAAGCTAATCGACAAAAAAAATACCATAATTCCAATCATGTTTGTGTTAAGAATGGTTTGAGGAATGAGACAAATGATAAACCAAAATGAGAGAGTTAACATCACATCTCAACCCAAAATTAAAGTAATTTTACGAGTCTTTCGCACTTATATAATCCTTGTTTAGTTCATCTTTAATTGACGTGAAATTTCATCACTACTCACACTTCAATAATTCCATCACTTTGGAGTGTAATTATTTTCATTAGATTGTATGATTGAACTCTGAAATCCACTGAGTATGTTAAACACAATTGCTACAGGTACGTCCAAGCATCAAGCGTCTAAAACGTTATACAGTGGAGTTTGTTGATGGAAGGACAGAGAATTTTGATGCTATTATATTGGCAACTGGTTACAAAAGTAATGTACCCTATTGGCTAAAGGTATGAATATGATTATGATATATGATATATGCATGATATATGATATATATCCATCCTACTTTTTCTTTTTTCTTTTTTCTTTTTTTAAGCATTAAAAACAAGTTTTTGACAAGTGTATTCTTTAGAATAAGAAAAACATGAAATGGAATAAAGACTAAAGAGTACACCATCTATGTGAATACTGAAAATGATACAAAGGAACAAAGAGAAGCTAATATAATTGAAAATGGCATGCATGATTGCAGGAAGGTGATATGTTCTCTAAGGAAGATGGGTTCCCTAAGAAGCCATTTCCAAATGGATGGAAGGGTGAAAATGGGCTCTATGCAGTGGGTTTTACAAAACGTGGACTACTTGGTGCATCCATGGATGCAAAGAGAATAGCTGAAGATATTGAAGGGTGTTGGAAAGCTGAGGCAAAGCATAGTACTGCTTTTGCTCTCTCACTTTTGCCACAATCAAATTCATGATTAATGCATGATTGGTTGAGTTTCGGTTTTGGCCAAATTAGAGATTAAAGTTTAATTTATTATATATACATGAATGGAGAGTGAGGAATTTTGTGGTGCCATCACACATGAGCACAATGTTAGGACCCTCCAATCCATACATGGATAAGTGGATAAAAAAGAAAAGGTAAGTGGTGGGAAAATTCTTTTCCCATTGTGGTGCCCTTCATCTTAATTTTCATGGATTTACCTTTCAGCGTGGCTTTGAGAATGATATATTGAATTGAAGTTGAAGGAAAGAAGGTTGCTGGTTGTTTTTTTTTCTAGTGTTTGGGAGGAACCTTATTTTTCTGTACATGCATCTTGTATAGTGCAATTTTTTCTTATGTAGGCTTGACTTAATTTCTATAGAGCAAGTGAAACAAAGTGACAGAAAAAGAAGGTGAGGGTTGAGGAGGATATTTTCTAGAGCGAGTGTTTGGCATCTGATTTTGGTTTAACTATTATTCCCATGGATTTTATTTTATTTTATTTTACATAATAGAATATAACATTTTGATGCTTTTTTGTTGCCTCTTTGAGACTTTGAAAGATTAATTCAGCTCCTCAGTTCAGGTTTTTTCTTTTCTTGATTTTTGGTAAACTTTGGAGAAGAAAGCAAAAGATAACTAGAAAGCCAAAATTGTTGGCTTGGGATCGAGTACCTTCTTTCATTACTACTTTCCATGCAATTTCGTTATTGAAATGAATTCATTCCAAGTAGGAGTTAGGACCACCCTCTCGCTTTTCCACACAGGGAATTACATTTATTACAATTTTCTCTCTCACCAACTTCATTAAATTGTGGGTGGACCAAAAAAACCAAATGAAATGAACTCGGAATTAGGGGTGTGAAAAAAAATCATATAAACTCAACTGAAGTGTAAACTGCAGCAAACTGCATTATAATTGTTGCAATCTGATAGACCAAAATTGTTGCAATTGGTATGTTAATATTGCATCTATTTGCCCTCTCTCAGGTACTTACGAGGGAGGTACTCTAGAGATCAACGGATTATTGTGCACAATAATACAAATGACATAGTCAAGGCGTGAGGTGTGTGTACAGTGACAAGCTAAGGCGTGGGTTGTGTGTACAGTGACAAGCTATGAGAGAAGGTTTAGAGTATATATATCTTATTGGCTTAACTCCTTATTTATAGATGGGTTACCTGGCAGGAGTGGACTTCTAGACCTTTTAAGAGTATTAGGGGTCAATTATTGAGTCATTGCTGCCGTAGTAGGATTAGCAGTGTTTTAAAATCTGGCTCGGACCGGCCAGGTCGACCCGGGACTCGGTGGGTTCCCCGGTCCGAGCGAGTAGTTAGACCGGTTATGCAGTCAGCCCGGATTGGACCGGATGACCCGGCCGGAACTCAGTTGACTCGGGTTAAACCGGTTTTTCCTTCTTTCTTTCTTTTTTGGTAAATTTTTTTTTTATTGATAAGAACTATTGAATTAAAGGATATTTCCTTAATTTCCTCTTAGCTGTTAACCCTATTTGGACCTTCTAAAATATAGGTCTTTGTTATGTCCATAACAATAATTATATTTTTTTAACTGGTTCAAGAACTGAATTACTTTTTTGGAACCAATTGAAGAAAGAGTTTTATAAGAGTTATGTTGTAGGAAAAGTGATTGTGTAATGTTATAGAGATTCGTTTTGCGTGCCTTAATTTTTTATTTTTTATTTTGCTTTAAAAAGTGTGGGCCCCACAAAATGTTGTGTGTGTAAGAAATTTTTTGATGTCATGTGACATGATAGATGCAAATCCCTTGAAGAAATTAAATGTTTTTACAAAACCAATTCAATTTTAGAATTAAATCACTTTACCAATTCGGTTTTGTTCGAGCTAAAAATCATATCTATTTTTATGTATGTGAAAAAACTAAATGAATTGAACTGAACAACTAATTAAACTGAATCACAACATATTTTCCTGAACTAGTTGAAGACCCAAATCACTTTTTTGAAACTAATTCAAAAAACGAACAATTTTTTAAAAATGTTCAATTCGAGCGAATTGAAACACTTTTATAATTCAATTCGGCATAAAAAATGGAACCCAACCATGCAGAGTTCACCAAAGAAAATTACTAGCATGGTGGCATTCTAGAGTTACCACTTACCACAGCATTTTCAGAACCCCACCTGTTCTAAGCAAGTTGAGAAAAATATGTACTGATTGAACTCTAGCTAGTCACTAGTCAATTTTAATGGTTGAATGCATGGTTCTTAAAACTAGAGAGATCCGGCCGGGTTGACTCGGAAATCGGTAAATTGGTCATATAATCGGTCCGGTTAAAGCAACGGAACGGTCATGCATCAGAATAGGTGCGACCCGGTCCGACCCAGCCGGTTTTCATAAAAATCGGTGACCCGGTCGGTTAACCGGAGACCTGGCCTGGTTCCAAAAAAATTTCAAATTTTTGTTTTTTCAAAAAAAATCATAATAGCCATATTTGAATTTTTTTTGCTTATTGATTTACATAAGTTATATACTTACAACACCAATATTATCTCAATTGTGTACTATGCATAAAATTTTGAATTAATTTATAGTTAGAGATGTCTGTTTTCTGAAACTAAAGCCCCGTATCACGATCATTATATTTTTGTTTGATTTTTTATTTGAGTATGTTTATAATTTTTGAGTATTTTTTATTTGAGTATGTTTAATTTTTTATTTGAGTATGTTTAATTTTTTATTTGAAATTTTCATCATTTTTTTAGATATTTGAGTATGTTTATAATTTTTTAATATAAATTATAAAATTGCATATAATTATCGGGTCATGCGGTTGAACCAGTGACCCAGTGACCCGGTACCTCGACCGGGTCAATGACCAGACCAGTTTTAATAACTTTGGTTTAATGTGAATATTCGTAATCATACTAAGAAGAAAAAGCAAACTATACCAAATTGTGGTAGTGTAGTTGGCGTCAAAAAATTAAGCAAATAGGGATAAAAGTATGTGTTCAATCTTTTTCAGTATCGTCTTTAGAAGAATTTAAAATTTTAATCCCGAGACTCATTCTAAATGAGACTAATCGCAAAGTAATAGACCAATTGAAATATTAAAAAAAAAAAAAAAAAAGCTATTGATACAGACAAAGAAACAGCATATGGGGACAACGTTAATCAAATGTCAAACTGTCAATTCTGAGATTGCAAAAGATGATGTCTTCTCCTTTTCCATGATTGGTAGACAGTACCCAAAATTGTGTTTCTGAAATCAGCCACCGTTAAATTTCAAACATCAAATTCGATTTTACCACAATTTGTCATTTCAGGATGACCAACTCCTCCAAAAAAGGATTACTCTCTTTCTTACTTTCCCATTTCTGTTTGTCATTTCAGTCTGGCCCACTCCTCAAAAACTTTTTCTCACTTTCTTATTTTTTTAATAAATTTTTAATACTGTTATTACAATGACACTAATGTTACATTTATTAAAATTAATAAAATTTGATACTAGCTCTACCTACTTTTATATTTTTAATGTCATTGGGAAAGTACGTACTAGTAATACTCAAAATTTACTTCTTTTTCTTTTTATCGGGAGAAACTGAAAAATTACTTCTATTTCATTATCTTTGAACCAAAAATCAATAAGAAAAATTTTGACAAATCAAATCTTTGTCCAAACCATAACTTTAGAGATGTTCATCAACCAATTCAAACTGCGGTGACCGAATCAAAAAATCGATAACCGAATAAATCGAAAAATCGAAAAAAAAAACCGCAAATTTTTATTTGATTGGATCGGTTTTCGGATTGGTTAATGAAAACCGATCCAATATATTAATTCCTCTCTACCTGCTTGTGTCTTTCTTCAATCATAACCCAAAAAATTTTAAATGAAAGACCCATGAACCCATAAACTAAACCCAAGAAAAATTATAGTCACATCTCATCAACAAAATTTCATCTATGTAGAGCTTCATATCTCATTGCCTAAAAAATAAACTATATTATCGTTTACTAATACTTTTGTATTTCAAAATATATTTTTTTTACAAAGTCAATATATACAAAAGATGTTATTTGAACAATAATCATGAAACAAATTTTAAAATTTTCAAACAATTGAAAACCGATCCAATCCAAACCGAAAAAATTGAATTGGATCGGATCGGATTTGAAAAAAAATCCAAACCGAATGAAAGATTACATGATCAAACCGAAGGGATTGGATCTGATAATTTTTGCTTCCAAAACCGATCCAATCCAGACCGCGAACACCCCTACATAACTCCTTTTTATTCTTTCTATTTTTGCATTATGTTTTTGTCATTCTTCTTTAATCATTTCTCCTCAACATTTCCATTTTTACTTTTATAATATATATTTTTTTTCCTCTATATTTTATGGGGAAGGATATTGTAACAATCAATTAGTATTACTATCAATGTTACTACCAATCAATTTTACCGTTAGATCGAATATATAGATACAACGGTTATATTTATTTCCATCTTTGTATGGTTATGATTCTCCATATTTAATACTTCAAATTCATTTATGGGGAATCATAACCATACAAAGATGGAAATAAATATAACTGTTGGATCAGCATAATTGATCTAACGGTGAAGATCGATGAAATTGATTGGTAGTAACATTAGTAGTAACACTAATTGGTTGTTACAATATCCTACCACATATTTTATATGTCTTAACTTTTGATTAGAAGATAGGGGTGTTCGTGGTCTGGATTGGATTGGTTTTGAAGCAAAAATCATCGAATTCAATCCCTTTGGTTTGATCATTTAATCATTCATTCGATTTGAATTTTTTTTTAAATTCAATTCAATCCAATCCAATTTTATTTTATTTGGATTGGATCGGTTTTCAATTTTTCGAAAAGCCTAAAATTTTAGTCTTACAAATCGCTAGCTATATCAAAATAAAGTCATTTGAAGTTATAAACCACTAAAAAATTCAAGTCTTAAAACTCGTGAAGAGTTAAAATATATTAATAGATAATAAAAAATTAAAACTAGATAGTTTGCTATCAATAACATCCAAGATTTCAAATCTACAAAATAAAAAGATTCCAAGTCACCATCTCTGTAAGTTGTCCAAGTGAAATACCATAAGTGGGGATTTTGACCACAATGTCATGTTTCCCAAAAATCAAAATATCAAAATACCATGCCTGGAATTTTTTTTTCGAAATGCCACGATGTAAAGACTCGCTCGTGATGCATTTTTCTTGGGGTCAGAACCCGCTTTAACGCAAGGCATGTCTTTAGAAAGCTGGTCTGACATGGCAAAGGAACCTACCTTCCTTGGTGGTGGGTCCTTGCCAATTCATTCAAAGAATTTTTTTCCCTCTATGGGGGGGAATTTGTCTTTAAACTCGAAGAAAAGGAAAAAAATTCTTTAAATTAATTGGCAAGGACCCGCCACCATGGAAGATGGATTCCTTTGCCACCTCAAACCCGCTTTCTAGGATGGCGTC